TACAGATACTTTTGTGCTGTGCAGAAAATAAGCTAATCTTTTGTCACAATCCCAGGATATGGTTCTGCCAAATAGTGTGTGTATGTACTGAGCTATTGCTGGGACAAATAATTGCCAGTTCAATAGAACATGTACAATGTTTTCTATTTTTGGTGCCCCACTACAAACATATGTTCTTTCAGAGTATGACATTTGGTGGAATCATTTGAGGATTTCTGAAACCATTGAATCCAGCTGCTCAAATCTTGCTCTGCTAAAGGCTGTCCTAGGGCATTGAGTCAAGCCCATTGTCAGGTATTTTACTGTTTGAAAAGATATTTTATTTTTGGCCGGTCATTTCAACCACCTGGGGTTTGCAAGTGATTCAATATCAGTTTGAGCATTAACATCCAAGACTCTTTGTTTGAATGTTGTCTTAGTCCGACATCTGATTGAGAGTTAATATTGCATTGGGAAGCCATGCTGTGCAATGATTTGGACAACTGGATTCATCCATGTGATGGATTGAAGTCTCTCCTTCTGTTCTTAAAGACACATTTTTGGTAATGTATCAAGTCCTACTGGGAGAAATCGCTACTCATTGTTAAAGACTTTGATTACTGTTACACTATAAATGGAGTGGGTGCCTCTTTCAATTCCGACTGCTGCTGCAGGCCTATTTTTGTTGTTCCACAAAATTGATCTGAAAAAGATGGCACCTGGATGGGAAGCCTATAGAACAGTGGTGAAATGTAAAATTTGTTACTACCAGTTCTGTGGGCAAGGCTTGGTGGTGGTGGTGGGAGGTAATGTGACTGGGTGGGCGTGGCCAACCTTTTTTTGTTTTTACTTTTAAAAGCATTTTTTTTCTACAACCTCTTCAGCTGAAGAGGTTGTAGGAAAAAATGCTTTTAAAAACCTCTGACGATCAGGTAACTCAGCTGGGTCGCTCTGTGTGAGAGTAACATCAATTCCAGGATGGACTTTCCAACATGTATTTGAATAGGTGGCCTTTATTGTATCAGGTGTTAAACTCTAGATATTCCATATTTAGCCTGACCATCTTCTTTCATAAGGGGTCTCACTTTATAGAATCATAAGCCACATTAAGATCTATGAAAGATGTAAGCAGATGTTTACCATATGTTGAATATTTAATAATAAGCTGATGTGAATAAGAAGAATGGGGCAATTATCTATTGTAGAATGTCAGTTTTAAAACCAGCCTGTTCTTCCGCTAATATGTTCCTCTCAATCACCCAATTCTTTATTTTGCTCAAAATAGGTTTTGGATGCATCTTAGCTGTTATATCAAGAATGCTTATATTCTGTAATTTTTAGGTCTTCCTCAGGGGTGAAATGCTTCTGGTTTGGCCGGGTTCAGCCGAACTGGTAGAGATGGTGGCCGGTGGTTCGGAGAACTGGTAGCGATGGCGGTGTGAGGCTCCACCCACTCACCCAGTCATCATTACTTCCTGGCTTTAACCAGGAAGTAACCTGTTTTTTACCCTCTGTGCATGCGCAGAAGGGTTTGCGCATGTGCAGAGGGTCCACGCGCACATGGGACATGTGCATGCGCATGAGCGAAGCGAGCGTGCACTTCCAAACCAGTTGGGAAGGTAAGTAGATTTCACCCCTCGTCTTCCTTATCTTTTTCGTATTTTGTAAACAAAACTATGATGGACAATTCCCATACTGTTGGAATACAGTCTGGAATATGTCTGGTCTAATCTTAGTAAACAGCTCTTCCAGTAGTGAAGTCCAGTGTTCAATATATGTCCTAAAAAGTCCTGGGGGTAGGAAGTCTTTACCATGTGCTGGGTTTCTTGTGACTACTTTTTGGTTTTCAGTGATTGAATACTGTGTTTAATTTCCATTACTGAAACTGGTGCCGAGGGGGAAAGTTAAACCATTTCAGCCTCCAGGGTCACCTCATTTCAAGGTTAGCGAGTAGCCTATTATTGTATGGTATGGAAAGTTTTAAATCAGAATTGCCTTAAAAATTGAAATGCATGCATGTATGTATGCATGTATGTATGTACTGGATATTTCTCATGTAACAAAATAATGCACATTATTTGAATGTCAAAATACTTTGCCACAGGCAGAAACAGTTTGAGCATCATGCAACAGTAAGGTCTAGTACACAGAATAAAGTGAAGATATTCAGTATCTTTCTCGCATTACAGTTTTTTCATGTACTCAAGCTGTTTTCAGTTAGGTAGCAAAACTCCACATGAACTGCAGTTATAGGTTAATGTTGGAATTATAAATTTTAAATAAAGATATAATTCTCTTTATTGTTACTTTGCTTGAAAGCAGTGCTTCTTTAGTGCTTCTACATATATGACATGATAAAATGTAGGCGATGACCAGGCTGAACCTGAGGGAGGGGTCAAGCATGCCATCAACCTGGAGTCCTTCATGCACACAAGAGATATACTGTAAATCCAGCCCACCTTGAATCTTGTTGACTCTTATCTACAATTTGCCTTGATGGTTAGTAGCTCAGATTCTTGTAGAGAACATTAGCATGCAAGAAACTTGAAGTAGTTATTTGAACTGCCTTGCTTCCTGATTTATTATGCCTGTCCAGAAGAGCTGTCTGAAAAGTTTGAAAAAAGTTACTGCACTCTGGATGGTGATTGCCCTCCAGCATGCAGGTTTTCTATGCTTCAATCCAAAATCCAGAGGTTGTGCCAAAGAGAGATTGTTTGCTTTTACTTGCACAAGAAGAGTATACTATCAGGTGTGCAAATTGTTTTACAACAGTAACAATTTCCACATTCACCTCATATTTTCACATCGCTTTATGTTTGTTCACATATGCGGTTTATATTACTGAGAAGATTACATCTGCCTTGAAAATTTTTCAGAGGAATAAAGGTTGTTTTAAAAGATACATTTGTGTTATTTATGATGCATCATTGAATCTGCAACCTCACCCCATAGTGCATTAGAGGTAACACCACCCAGGGAAATATGGAGAAAGCATTTTAAATCTGCAATGGCTCATTTATGCATAGAATGAGTGCTGTTCAACCAATATAGCACAAATGTAGATGTGTTTATGAATTAATGACATACTGAAGTAAGAACAGTGAGTGCACTTATAAACAAGTCTGCATCTCCTGTAAAAGAGGGAAATAATTTACTAGTTCATTCCCAAGAAAAGTGTAGGGCAAGAGAAGAGTAGTTTGAAAAGCTACAAAGAGATATCAACACAGAGATCCCTGTACGAGACAGAGAGAGAGAAAGAGAAAAGTGAAATTATACAGGTAGTTCTCGACTTAAAACCTGTTTAAGTTGCTGTTAAGTTGCTGTTTTGACCCAACCTTCGCAAGCAGTGTGAAACGGCTTACTGATGAGTAACACAAACCCTTTTTTATTTAAGTCAGGGCAGGAACAGTCATTGTTCACATTGGAGCAACAAAACCAAAAGTAATTAGTCACAAATGAGAGTCTTTTCCCCTTCTAAAACAGAGCAAGAACAGTCTCTGTTCACATGAGAACTCAAGATAAAAAAACACTACAATGATTAGCCAAGCAGAAACAGTCCCTGTTCACATTGGCTGAGGCAAATTCACTCCCGATTATTTTCCATCAGAGAGATTCTGTTGGCACCTCAAATACAGAGCAATTAGTCCCAACAAACCTGATTCTGGCAAAGGAATCCGACGTGATTGATGTACACTGGAAAAAGAGGTTGTCTGCGACAACCCGTCACTCCCAAACCTCTACTATTTATTTCCCAGCCAGGGAGGGGCTGGCTGGCATCTACATCTTGAGAGCCAGTTTATTGCTTTCCATTGCTTTCTTCTCCTTTCCTCTCTACTCATACGTGCATCTGGGATAGGCCCTATCTGTTCCTCCCCCTCACTCAGCTCAGGGCCCAAAGACAGCTGCCTCTCCACCTGGGGAGAATGGAAGGCCTGGCTCTGTATCTGCCTCTGATCCTGTTTCCTCATCAAAGTCTTCCAAAAGGCTCCAAAATGGGCCCAGGCTCCACTTCAACTTCCTCCTCATCTGACTCTGCTGCTAACTCTGCTGGCAGGCGACAGGTTGCTTAGTTTCTCTCTAGGGATACTTATGACCTGTTTCTGAAGTTCTAATGGCTGGCCCCCTTCAGGATCACATGACTGCATTTCAAGCACTTGACAACCAGACATATTCACAGCCATTTACAGCATCCTGAAGTCATGTGACCACGATTTACGATGCTTTTGTTAACAGCTGGCCAGTTTTCAGCAGACCTGGCCCATCGTGGACAACTGGTTTACTTAACAACTACTTTAGTCGTTTTAATAACTGCTGCACAATGGGTCATGAAATTAGGTCAGTCATGTGTGCCTTGCTTCACAACTGTCATGACTTACAGTTGTAATGGCTCCTTACATGGCTCCAACCATGTAATGGTTGTAAATTGAGGACTACCTGTACAACCCATGTAAGAACCGGAAATTAAATAAATTATACCTGCATCAATCAGCATTTGCTGAACCAAGAAGCCATGTAAGAAGAAATACCGTATTTTTCCGAGTATAAGATGCACCTTTTTCTCCCCAAAAAGAGGGTGAAAATCTGGGTGCGTCTTATACTCCGAATGTAGCCCCGCCCAGCTTCTCAAATGGCTGAAAAAAGCATCAAAAACGAAGCTTCAGAAAAAAAGCCCCCAAACAGAGCTTCAGAGGCTTTTTTTTTTCTGAAGCTCTGTTTCGGAGGCTTTCAGAGGCATGGAAAAAAGTTTTTTTTGAAACGGAGCTTCAGAAGTTTCAGAGGCAGAAAAAAAAGCAAACAACAACAACAACAACAACAACAAAAAGCAGGGCACAGAGCTCACAACCAAGGAACCTATTGCTAAAATTCACCTCTGGGAACAGCTGATTGGGAGTATTCCGGGAGGCCGATCCACCTGCCAATCAGCTTTTTTCTTATTTTCCTCCCAAAAACTAAGGTGCGACTTATACTCCGAAAAATACGATATATGTATATATTTTAAAGAAATACTCACAAAATTTTACCTGATAGACAGGAGCATTTGAAGCCATTTACAGTTTCTTCACAAGTACCACCATTCCTGCAGGGCCCATCAGCACATAGCTCTGCTGTCCTGTTACATGTTTCACCTAAATGTATACATGCAGAAAGAACAATTAGTAACATCAAAGGAAAATATCTGTAAAATATCTGTAAAAACATTCTATTATTTGAATAGTTTCAAAGATTGGCCTCTCCAGATTATATAAGGGTGTCACTTTCTAAAGAGAATAAGATTGTACTTAAAAAAAAGAAATTATATCAAAAATCCATTTTTGGCAGAAAAATGGTGTATAGTTTTTGGTGTATATAATCGCTGTTCCTCTTTTCAACCAGCTTGATTAACAAGTTGAGGGAGTTAGTACAGCATATGTTATCTATACATAGCAATATGACTCTTAATACATTGTCAGTAACCTATACTGCTATAAACACCCCCACATATGTAGCTTTATCTCATGTATTTGTGGGAAGGTGTAAATAGAGTAATGTGAAAGACAGAATGTGTGAGGCCCACTCCAAGCAAGTTAGAAAGAGGGAGAAAGGTTTGTTCTAACAGAACTGATAATATCGAAATTCACAATTACAAAGAAAACACTATGAGGTATGGTTCTCACACACATATAAAAATACACAAGCTGGTTCCTGAAACAGCAGCTGGTCCTTTATCAACCAGATGAAGCAATGACATTCAGGTGGGAAAACACAGGAGGTGGTTTCGGAAGATCGCATGAATGATGGAGCCCAAATTGTGAAGTGCAAGATGTTTTTGTGTGTGTTCATCTGGGGAGGAGTTGAGATGCAATTTTTAAATGTTAAGTATGTTCAATCTCTTGGATTGTTGACACAGTACTTATATTTAATTTCCAAACAAAAAGAAGTTGAGACAATTGAAGTAATAATTTTGTTGCAATTCAGTTGTCAAATTGTGGCAACATCATTGCCAGAGACTTTCATTCCCCTCAAAGGGAGGGTGGCTTTAGGGCAGGGGTGGGCAACTGTCAAGCTGTCAAGCCAAGCTGTCTCGGGAATTCTGGGAGTTGAAGTTCACAGGTTGTAAAAGAGCCACAGTTGCCCACTCCTGCTTTATGTCATCTGAATATGATTTTGAGTAACAAAGACATGAAATCATCAATTCATTTGTGTCCATTTTCAGCAGAAAGACCATAAAGGGTTTCCAATGTTTTATAAAAGCATTTATTATGTTATCCTTGATCAAACAACTCAATTTTATATCCTTTTATATTTTTTTGCTATTTTTAACCTTTAGTTCAGTGTAAAAATGTTGTCATGGAACCTTCTTACTGGCTAGGTGCACAAATACATTTCTTAATATATTTCTAAACTTTTCATTACTTGTGTTAATTCTACACAATTTGTCCATTTTCACATCCATGTCTTCTCTCTCCTCTTGCAAAAAATAAAATAGGGCTTCAACAACTATCTCTTTACTGTTTTCACCAGATTGTTATACTCTTAGTCTCAGGTAAAATTATTTTTCTTTTAAATCCAATGGTGTCCAGGGAGCCCTGGTAGCACAGTGATTAGGATGCAGTATTGCAGACAAACTCTGCCCACAGCCTGGAGTTCAATCCTGACAGGCACAAGGTTGACTCAACCTTCTATCCTTCTGAGGTTGGTTAAATGAAGACCCAGATTGTTGGGGAAAATATGCTGACATTTGTAAACCACCCAGATAGTGCTATAAAGCACTATGGGGCGGTATATAAATCTAAGTGCTATCGCTACTGCTAGTGCTAGTTTTACAGTGTCTAAATCTTTTTCCATCTCTTAGCTTACTGTTTCTATTTCACTCATTTGTATTGCAAATTCTTCAATTTTTTTACTCATCTTCTCATCCATATATGCAGATCTTTCTTTTTTCAAATCTCTTAACAATTAAATCAGTTGTACTGTCACTGAAACGGCAATATTCTTTTCAAATTTTTCCCAACTTTTGAAATAATTCCTAATTGGTCTATTGACCTATTCGGCTCCTCTGTCACTACTTTCCTAACATACAGTAAGTCATTTCTCTCCTGTAAGCAATACCATTTTGAATCTAAATTAGAATACATGAAACCATTACAACCAATAATATTTATTATTTACTCTCCTAACTCAAGGAATAATCTAAGAATCGTGGGATAAAACTTAATTTTATGAATTTTGGACCCAGTTTTCACCAAACCATAATATTTCAACTGGTAAAGTAAATTCCAATCTACCTGCACATTCACATACATTTAACCATAGAGACATAGTTTATATAAAACTTAAGTCCCTAGGGAAATGTGGTTTTACAACTCAATGTGTTAGCTTCCCCTCTGCAGCACATATATACAGTACATTAATATTATTGTTGACTGCATCAGTGCATTTTTAGTTAATCACCTAGCTATCAATCAGCCTTCATTAGCTAAATCAGTATCAGGTAACATTAGCTACTTATCTAACTGTCCATCCATCATTAGAGAGAAAATATAAATTGTATTGCTAATTCTAATTTGAAAAATGAGCACGGGAGGGCATGGAAAGAAAACCTTTTATTTTTTTCCCCCAGCAAGATTGTTTGTGAGGCTAAATTATTCATATGACAAAGTCTCTGATAATTATATGCCACAGATTCATTTGGATCATCAAACATAACTGTAGTAAATGTTTCCTAAAATTTATAGTTTCAAATATTTATGCTATAAACCCAGATTTCCTAAGTCAGTTGTGTATGCATCTGAATATTCACTTCTCATTTTCTTATGTTTGTGCCTTTGACCATATGGTGTTTATTTCAACTCACTTCTAAACACACAAGTCCATTCCTAATCACGATAATGCCAAAATGATAAAACTTATGTTGTGTCATCCTGTCACAAATTTTGCCATTTTATTCTAGTTTTGCACTGTTGCACAAATATTTAAGAAGTGGAGTTTGCATGATGATATTGTGATACATATTTCACTAGTTACATCATCTCCCACTCTTTCTATGGACACCTATGATGCTAACCATAAACTTGTAATATGTCCTATTGATTTCAGTGGGATTATTAAGACTGAGAGCCATAGGGAAAATGCTCAGTCTACAGATACTTGAGGAAGGACATTATACATACTTGGTAGAATAGCATTAGAATAGAAGCCAAGGTATGAAATTTGGTGTAGTTGGTTTTAATGAAGAACATAGATATAATTAGCTTAATGGAAAGTTGACAAAACAAATAGAATGGTTAGGATATAATTCATACCTATTGTGATCTGTTTAAAACAAGAAGAGTTATACTGGAGAATGGTTTTGCTTTGTCTGAAAACATGGTCCCGTTTGAGCCTGTACCTGAAATCCCAGAAATAATTTTTCTCTATTTATCTTACAGTTGGAATTAGAAGCCTATTTTATTATTTTATCAAGCAGAAGTTGATACTTTGTACCTCTGCCTTTCCTTTAATTTCCTTTCTGCACTACTGGAAGGATGTTATTTTCTTCTAAATAATCTTGATCGTTGTCCACTATTCCTGCAAGTAATTTAAACATTTTATGCAAGCATGTAATCGGCCTATATTTTCCTGGTGTTGTTTGCTGAGTCTTTTTGAATCAGATAATTTTGACAGTCATTAACCAGTCACTGATGTCTTCTTTATGCAATATTTCATTAAAGTGTTTAGCTATAATTGGATGTAAGCTAGTCAGATATTTGAGCCAAAAGCTATGCAATTGATTATTTCCAGTAGATGTTAAGTTTTTAATAATTTTCAGTCAGTTTTTAACTATTTTTGCTGTTATTATTAATTCTTCCATTTGAGTTTTATAAAACTCATCTTTAAATTCTTTGATCCACCCAGTATTTTTATTGAATTTTTTTTTTGAGTTTCCTATACATTTTCCAAAACTGGATTTTTCCCCTTTTTGTTTGATTGTCCATTTTCAGAATTTTTATTGCCATTTATACTTCAGCAGAATCGCCTCTAATCTGATTGAAGTACTTGATTTTATCTTAAATTTGTTGCTTTATGATTTCCAAAACTTCAATTTTTCAAAGGCTAAGCCAATATTTTTAATTAAGCTTGTCTTGAGACTTACATTGTTCTTACTTGCATTTGATCTTAATTTATTTCATTTGGCCTCTAGTTTGATCTTCCATTTTGGGATTGCATATGTTTTTGCTTTTGGTTTTCTAATTTTGATAATTCATTTTTCTATAACTGTCACTGATGTACCAAAGGCAAATTGATTGGTTTGTTCAATAGATGTTATTTCAATCTCAGCAAGCACATTATTCACATCCTTCATTATAGGTCTTTTCTGGGCACTACTTTCAATGCTGGCATTCTTTGTCTTTCCACTGTAATTCTAAATATGCCATAATTTTCTGTTTTTGATTCTTCTTGTTGGGAAGTCAATTTATAGGTTATTTCAGTGCCCAACCTATACTGTTTCTTTTCTTATTACTTCTAGGTTATCATTTTTGCAGTTCACACCAGCTGTTTCCTCGATATTTCCAATTGTTGTTATTTGAAGTTCTTCCACTATTGTTTTTGGATCTTCCATTTTCACAGTTTTTCTGAATCTCTTCTGGTCCTGAATCCCTGAATAGCTTATTTCTGGTAATGAATCTCCTTTGATCTGCTAAGTGTTGTTCAGTGATATTTGATTCTAGATAAATTCATTTCCAATGTTCAATCATTTGCTTTAATATCCCCACTTTGTTGATTCTGATTTAAAACAGCAGGCCATAACGGCACAATCTTCAAACACAGTATCACTTTTGTCTTCTCTGTAGTTGTTGTTCTCCCAATAATGCTACAGGCGTAGATTCTTATTGCCCAGCTGTGGCTCCTGAGTTCCATTGCCCACTTGACAACAGATGCCTAGGCATTCTAATATCTGGAACTCTCATTTTGACCTGGGCAACAAAGGTTTCTTTTTCTATTTTCTTATTATAATAATTGGATAGATGGATACTCCAAGTCTGGCTCTTCCACCAAGCCCCTTCTGGTACCTTCATCATAGCTCTCAACCTCATCAGAGCATTACAAGCCCCTTCCCCATGACCAGGGGGTATCCATGGAATGGATTATTGCTATTATTATTAAT